GCAAAAAACTTGATGTAATGCAAATTGCACTGAAGGCAAATAATACAGCACACTTCCCATCTTGTCAGCAGTTGAAAGAAGAAGAAGAAAATGACACAAAATTTAGTATGTTTCATGAAATAATAATTGATATCAAGAAAGAGTTCCAGGACAGATTCCAGGATTTTGACTCCCTAAAACCAAAACTTGCACTATTCAATAACCCCATGGAGATTGAAGTGAGTGAGGTGCCCTGCGACCTTCAAATGGAAATTTGTGATCTTCAGGCAGACCCATTCTACCAGACTAAAAAGTGTGGTGTCCCTGAAACTTTCTGGAAACTGATTTCTAAAGAACGTTTCCCCAAACTGCTTAAATTCTCTCTGCAAATGTTATCACTGTTTGGCAGTACATATGTGTGTGTGAAAGTGCTTTTTCTGCTCTCAAACAAATTAAATCAAAAACGAGAAATCACATTGAAAGTGCTTCACTGGAATCAAGCCGGAGACTTTGCCTTACTGAACTTACAGTGGACACTGATAAACTTGTATCAGAAAAGCAGTGGCAATCATCACATTGATTTCTTGAGTGTAAAATAAAGTGATATATTAAACTAGTGAGCTATATGTAATTCGTTTTCTTTCTTTAATGTCTCTGGCCCTCACTTTCCTATACAAAAATTTGATTGGCCCTGGGGTAACTAAAGGTTGGACCACACTGACATAAGTAATTACTTAATATTTCTATTAAATTTTTTGTAAGATCCTATTCCACCTCATAAGGGGTGTTGTCCACTTGTTTAGAGTTATGTGTTTATTTCAGAATATTTATTTCAGGAGCTTATTTTCCTGTTCATTAGCCCGTTGTTTTGCTATGTCTGCAATCTTGTTGCTTGTGTGTTGTTCCTTCTAGCAGCATATGGTGCTGTCTTCACTATAAGTGATTTAGAAAACTTTTCTAGGAACATAACTTTGTATGTTTTTGACTGATGTTTCTGTAAGAAAGGTAGACCGAAGCACTTGTGAAATTTTGAACACATAACTCATGATATTGTGGCGTGTTATATGTTGTCCATTGCTGAGCAACGAAACAATGGAAATTGTTGAGACCATTGTGTAGGAATATCCATAGCAATGAGTGTTCATTGCATAACAACACTCGGTAAACACCCCTCCTCACTAGGCTGTGACATCACGGAACAGTAGGGCGTCTATTGCTAGGCAATGCATAGGTAGACACCTGACAGTACCTGATATCTGTTGCCGAGCAACAATGTTTTCTCTATGAGGTCTGAACCGAGCCTATATAAGGAGCAGCGAACACTTTTCAGGAGTGAGTGAGTTAGTATTCAGTATAAGTTGGAGTCTGAAGAGAGACACCATCGAATGCAGTCTAGTATTCGCCGAGATATAGTGGAAGCAATAATTGTGATACTGCAAGTGATAGTAACTGTATTCCTGACTCTAAGTAAGTGTGGATGAATGAGTTCAATCGTTGAATCCGAAGGCTACATGAAGTTATTTGTCGCATGACATACCCAACACGTGACAATATATAATATACAATTGAGTGGAAGAAGGGTACCCTCTTTGAAAAAGCCAGAGTTAACAAGGGATAGTCTTAACATCATTTCACACACCTCACTAAAGACTAAGATTAAGTCTGGTGTAAGAAACTCCTTGGTTCAATGAGGATTACTTGGTTTTTAGACTTTGTCCATCGTCTGGTATACAAAAGAACACAACATTTCAAAAACATGATTTGTTTCCATCCTTAGGTGGGTGGTGGGGGACACCTACTATGTTGAGTCTGTCATAAAGAGCTAACCTCAATGATGACTAAAGCCCAGTTATCCTAAGTGTTGTACACCACCGTCAGAACATTTTAGGAATGTTCTTGATACACATTGAGTATCTGATAGTTATTCATGTCTTCCAACAATTTTCTGTCATTGAAACTGATGGTTTGTGATTGTGTCTAGAAAAGTCTCTATCCTGAGGTATTTTACATGTTTATGGCCTATTTCTAGGAGTCATTTTAATATTTTCTTTCCCTCTATGTCTGGGTCTTTCAAGTGACCTTTTCTTCACGAGATCCTCTAACTCACATGTACATTTCTTATTTATTTATAAATGGTTTGTTTAACAATGTCAGCAGTTCACCCTATACAGTGTCAAATGGTAAGATGATTAGTGAATAATGCATTGAAAAGATCGTGGAATGAAGCAGTCATGGTCTAATGGAGATGTTATCACAGAATTTCCTTTAATTGAGGAAATCCGTGAAAACCCTCCATCAGGATAGACAGTTACCAGGCCAGGAGTTGAACTGTAGACCTTATGAAAATGAAGCAGCAGTGCTACCCAGTCACCTGTAACATTTGATTGCAGTTCTACAGTTCTTGTTGCCCATGCATGTTATATGTTCTACCAGTCTCATTCTTCTTTGTTGACACAAATGATGTCAAGTGGTTGTATGAATTGTCAGTTTCACTGGTTTAGCACTCCTCCATATTTGGGAGGTTCTAGAATCTTTCCACATATTGGGTATCTTGACAATCTTTCCTCAGTATCTTCAGGCACAAGAACATCTCAGAAGCTTCATTCGCTGGCTCAGTGATTCATGGCCAAATTTATCCATCCAGTCACTTGATACTGTATGACCTGTGTAATTAAGAAGGTGCAGTTACAAGTAAAACAGCCAAAGAAATTGATTTATGAGAAACAAACTACATAATCATTTTTTGTGTCCAGTTGCAACATTCATCGGACACCAGAGCTCCACATTCTATGTTAAATCATGCCTCAGTCCCGATGGGCTCTACCTGGCCAGTGGCTCCAGTGATGAACATGCCTACATATGGAACACGCAGGGTTTGAAGACACCAGTGACAAGCCTGGTGGGGCATAGGGCAGAGGTCACCTGCGTGCAATGGTGTCCAGTGGGGGATACAAAGGTTGGTGTCAGAATATAGCCACCTGTTATAATGCAGCCACTTGGAATACAATGAAGAAAGTGACAGGTTTAATATTACAGTAAATCCTATGAAAATATGTTATGAAGGTGTGAACTGGATTGAATTGCCTCAGGATAAGGCCCAGTGGCAAACATTGATGAAATTTTTTGATCCAGGTGATTTCAAGACCAGACAAATCATAGTCATCTTCTTGAGGAAGGCTGTAGTATGGGGTTGGTTTAGGTAGTTCAGAAATTGGTTGACACCTGGTTAACTATTTAACTAGGTAGATACTTGGCAGTTTTGTTGATTCTTACAGTGGAATCACCATTCAGTGTTTATTTGAGATTCTCTTGCATTTAATATTTAATGTTTTTGATAATTCTCCAGTTTTACCTCTGTTAACCCTTCCGCGACGGATAGTATTTAAATCATTTCCTACCGCCAAACCGACGGGGTATTTAATTATTAAACAGAAAAATGCACTTATCCATGAAAAATTTAGTAACTCTCGCAAAAATTGGTATATTGAGATAAAATTTTCACAGAAATATTCATAAAGAAACGAAGAACAAAACTATATATATATTTTTCAATATAATTATGATAAATAATATTTTTTTACTCACTCGAACTGCTAAAAGTTGAGTTTGGTGTGGTAATCCTGAAAACACTGGTCAATACATAGCCCAACATCACAATCACTGCACCAGTACACGGTTTCTTTTCTTCTTTTGTTTTTTGTACACACTACACATCGCCTTTGTGGTCTAGCCTTTTTTCCTGATGGGGGAATTTTACTAATAAAATGTCTTTCACGAAGCCGGGGGATGGTGTTATCTGATGAATGACGTCGACCTTGTACTCTACGTGCTGCCTGCTCCTGGTCCGTAAACTTCAACAGCAACCCTTCTACCAGATTTACTCTGAATGCTAAGTGGTCTGTCAGTCTTTCCTGATTCTTGTTATAAATTATCATGGCATTTACCACTGTCGCATTCAAAAGGCGTCTGAAGAGTTTCATGTACCACTTATGAAGTCTTTTTCTTTCCACGTTGTAGTACTGTAAAAGCTGATCTTTCAAATCAACGCCACCCATCATTTCATTATAATCAATTATAATTTTTGGTTTTTTTATTTCTTTGTTTCTCTTTATATCTGTCTGTGTGTCGGCATTGTGAAATGTAGAGATCACGGAAACTGGTTTTTTGTCTTGCCACTTGAGAACAGTTATAGGACCTGCGTGCTGAGCTATGATCTCGCCCTTTCTCAACTTTGTGTTTTTTACAGTTGTTGGGACACCCTTTCTGTTCAACCTAAGGGTCCCAACACAGTCAGTGCCATGATTTTTTAATAATTTTGCTAACTGGGGGGAATTGTAATAATTATCCATCCATAGAGTATGACCTCTATGGAGGAGCGGTTCGACCAAATGTAGAACAACAGATGTTGTTTTATTGGTATTTTCTCTGATCAGTGAAGAATTTAGTTGGGTTTCGCTGCCAGTGTAAACAATAAATGACCATAAATACCCAGATTTGGAATCACAGAGTTCATAAGTTTTTATGCCGAATTTTGAAGCTTTCAGTGGCAAGTACATTTTGAATGCCAATCTCCCTTTCCATAGTGTAAGCGATTCATCAATACAAATATTTTGTCCAGGATAGAAGAGTGTCTGAAATTTTTCGTTGAGATGTTGAATGACAGGAAAAATTTTGAAAAGTCTTGTAGGTCCTAGGTAATTATCTTTCTTAGTATTGTCATTGAAATGGAGAAATTTACATATAAGCTGGAATCTGTCTCTCGAAATTACATCAGGAAATGCTGGAGTGTATAGTAATCTTTTCGTTGAAAAGTATGAATTTAGAGTTGGCTTATTGACTATACCCATCAGCAAGAACAAGGCTAAGACCACATACATTTCATTTAGTGTCACTGGTACCCACTGCCTAGCTGGAGATCTAAATGGAAAAACCCTCCCACATATAAATTGTTGCGCATAAGTGTTTGTTTCCTGAACGATATTGTTCACAAAATCCTCAGTAAAAAATAATAGAAATGTCTGTACTATATCGAGCACATTGACAGACTGATTTCTCGGGCCTGAATTTTCAGAAAACCGTTCGCGAACGCCATCATAATTATCCATATTTTGCCAAAAATAACTCTCGTCTGAATCCGCCACTGGAACCCTCGCCACTATTTCGTCGTCATCTTCAATACTAAGATCTTGGATAGCATCAACTACAGCCTGATCTTCAATTTCATTATCACTGTTTTCACTACTATCCGAATATTCGAACTCACTAACTTCCGAGTCGTGAGCAAGGAACTGTTCTAGTTCATCGCCCTGTAAAACTTTCCTACTTGTAGAGGCCATGGTTATGGCGCGACTGAGAGAAGAAAGTGTTATGACATCATAGATTTCTGTATCATTCGTAAGTTTATTTTCTTAGGTTGCATTTGGTTCCAAGAAAAAAGGACCCTCTTGTTTGACTACTTCATTGTGTCAGCAGACTGTACAGCAACCCATTCAAGGAAAACCTTCGTCTGGGGTTTCAGTGAGTGACTCATATAGACAAGCAAAGACCATAGAGTCGAAAGATATATAGTTTTATACATTTTCCTTACTTAGAATTTGAAAAATTTCAATGAAATCTAGGCGCAGTGAGACAAAAGTACGAACTATTACACTAACGATACAAAATAAAAATACCGTGCTAAAAATTCGTCCAAAATAAATAACTCATATACCAATAGAAAGATGAAACCCTAATCTATGTACTCCTGAAAAGAAAATTGGAATATCTTTCCTCGTTTTGTCAGCAACGTCCTTCAAAGCTAACACTGCGCAGGTCGGTGAACTGCACAGATGTCGGTGGCATACGATTATTTAAAGGGTCGGTGAAGCACACGGATGTCGGTGCGGAAGGGTTAAGTTCTGTCCATCTGCATTTTCTTAAGTATAGTTGGAATCCATTGTTCTCCAGAGATGTATGGAATCATGATTTCATTGTAGTCAGTCATCTGTTTAATAACTTGAGTTTTAGTGTGACTTGTTAATTTGTTGTTGCAGATTGCGACATGTTCAGATGATGCAAGACATCGGATCTGGCGAGTGGGATGTGAGTTTGAGGATGATAATTATCCTGAGATGCTAAGAGGTAGGGCTCTGACACCTAAGATAACCCATAGAGATGAAGAAAACACAAGGGGAGTTGTGGAAACATCACCATGTGCCAGCAAAACAAGTACTGGTGATCAGGAGAGAACACCTGACTTTGTCTGTTCAGATGTCATACTGCCAGACACAAGCTGTTGGAAATGTAATGGCAAGGGGCAGACTACAAGTCCATGTGCAACTTGTTTGTGTGTACTTAGGAGGAAGTCTCCCAGGACTAAACGTAGGCTCGAAGATTCGTTGGATGATGGTGCCAGTTGCAGTTTTGGTCGACACAGTAAGCACACAGTGCTTTCTCCAGTCCGAGAAGGGAATCAGGAGAGCAGAGTTGGGCTGGAAACACGAGCTAGGAGATTGTTCAGTCCATGCAAACACAATTTGAGTAATAAGTCTCCCACTAGTAATTGGGAGACTGATACCAAAACAGCATCCGAGGCCATTCTGTCTTCACCGACACTGAATCTTCCAAACTATGTTCTTGATGGAACTTCACCACATCATCACTGCAGTCCAAATGCACGACTTAAGGAGAATGTTGACTGGCTCACAAAACTGAGGAAAGAGAGGACAAATAGTGGGGAAAGTTGTAACTATCCAAGTGCACATGTTACACCAAAGCGAAGACTTACACGTTCTCGATCACATGAAATCAGCAAAGGGATTAGCCTGAAAGGAAATTCAGAGACTTTGTGGCGTTTTTTCCGTGTAGCAGGAAAATCAAATGGAGAGCTGCTGAACTTTGCAGCTGCACAGGGAGATAGCTCCCCCAAAGTTTTGACAATAGAACCGTGATAGTCATGTGGCACTAGATACATGCAATATGGTGATAATTTATAATATGTAAGTGCATGAATTAAAATTAACAAGGCTGCAATGCCCAGAAGGAAGTGCTGTTATTTATGGATTCAAATATTGATGTTAAATTTTTGCTATCCTTTTGGAATAATATGATGTTTGTGAGATGTCCATGTATTTGGGTGATGTCTTCATTGACAGTGATGAAATATCACAGATAAAAATTGAAATATTTTACTTACTGCACAACAGATGTGTACCTTTATAGGGGAGTTCTCTGCTAATTTTGAAGGATGTATTTTGAAATGTTTGAATTAATTTTGAATGACAAAATTGTATACAGTGAAAGTATCATAGAGCAAGTATGGCTTGTAGCAAAGATGTCATTATAGCAACAAAAATCATTGGCACCATCAATTTCTTAATGTTACATCATATAGACAGGGTTTTTTTTCCAGCGCCATCATAATGAGTGATTCCTAATTAGTAGCTTTCATATTAAGTATTTGCTCCAACTGCACTTGCAGTTTTGCTTCTGAAGTTACAAATGACTTGCTGTCTGTAAAGGTACAATTAACCCACCCTCTCTTTACTGCCCTAGTCTTGGCAAGAATTCATATAACAAAATCTGAGAGCAGCTTACCATTTCCAAGTCTGAACCATTAAGAAATCTGAATATTCCCTTCAGTCAAATAGTTTGTTTCGTTGTGTACTAAGTCACTTGTCTAGTTTATGGAGGCACCATGCAGTATCTTCCCTTCCTTGTCAAATGAATTTCTGCTCCCCCCGAACTTCCATTGTTCTAGGTTTGAGGATGATGATACAGAACACAACTGCACATGTGTGTTTAGGTTTTGTCTCATAAAGCATGTACAGTGGAACCTTGCTTAATGAGCATAATTTGTTCCAGAATCTTACTTGTTAAGCGAAACAATTTTTCCCATATAAATTAATGTGTTAATGGCTAAGGAAGACTAATTGAAATTGGAAGGTGCTATGGCATGGAAATGAATGTGGAGAAAACAAAAGTAATGAAAATTTTGAGACAACCAACTCCAGTCACAATAAAGATAGACCAAAAACAACTGGAGAATGTGAAATGTTTTAAATATTTTGTTAGCTTGTTAACAGATGATGGAAGGTGTACTAGTGAAATTAAATCCAGGATTGCCATGGCAAAAGCTGCATTTAGCAAGAAGAAGAATCTTTTTACCAGCAAATTGGACTTAAATTTGAGGAAGAAACTAGTGAAATGCTACATTTGGAGCATAGCTCTGTATGGGGCTGAAACATGGACACTTAGGGCAGTAGATCAGAAACATCTGGAAAGTTTTGAAATGTGGTGTTGGAGAAGAATGGAGAAGATCAGTTGGACCGATTATGTGAGAAATGAAGAAGTGTTAATTAGAGTCAGTGAGCAGAGGAATATCCTACATGAAATAAGAAAACGGAAGGCTAATTGGATTGGTCATGTTTTACGCAGAAACTGCCTTCTAAAAGAAGCTATCGAAGGAAAGATAGATGGGCGGATAGAAGTGACAAGAAGACGAGGAAGAAGACGTAAGAAGATGCTGGATGACCTTGGGGACAGAAGAGGATACTGTCATTTGAAGGAGAAAGCTCTAGATCGCATTAAGTGGAGGAATAGTTTTGGAAGAGACTGTGGACCTGTCGTCTTGACAGATTACTGATGATGATGATGAAATTAATGTAAAATACGATAATGCATTCCATGCCGAAAAAAATACTAAAAAAAATTATGTATAACGTTTATTCAAAGAAAATAATATATACATTGTTAAGGAGCGTGAATCATCTTTATCTTTTTTTCTATGCAGAATGAACCAACCTGGAATGCGATTTCGATTTGCAGAAAAAAAATCGAAATAGTTTATTATTTATGATACATATCTAATTCTTTTTTAGTAGAAAGCTGTCTAGAGACATTTGTTTTTGCTGACGCTTCAAAATTTGGTGAAAATGCAACACAGCATTATCATTAAATAAATTTGTAGTGCGCATAGCCACTGCCTTATTAGGGCGATGCTTCTCAATGTACGTTGCAACAGTTTCCCATGCTTTTAGCGTTTCTCTTATTGTGCCAGAAGATTGTTGCTTTGCTGTTACCTCCTCCTCCCCCTCTGACAAACTCTTGAAGTTGCCGATGAAGTTCTCTGCTGCCTTTGTGTCGGAGCTTGCTGCTTCACTGTGCCTTACAATGCTGTGGATGCCTGTTCTTCTCTTAAACTTCTTGAACCACCCATGGCTTCCCTTAAATGCTTCTTCTTCGGCCGTTGATGATCCTGGCGTGTGTTTTACACTGGACCGAGTAATGGCGAGTGCAGCGAATTGTACAAACTTGTGTTTCCTCTGTTCCACAACGAAATCGAAGTGTTTTCCCTCTGAACCATGAAAGTGAAATATGTGTGAAGGAAGAATACAGGATAACGTACATGTATTGATTTAACAAAAGTAAGTGCATATAAGAATAGTGGGTGTGTAGTGAAAGACAGTGTGTCTTTGAGGTTATTCTTGGTCTATTATTAATAATCTCGTGTGAAGTATGTACAGTGATTTGTACAAAATGTGTTTTAGTGGTTATATGGATAGAGATTGAATTATATTTTATGAGTGCATATTTGGTATGACAGAAAAGAGGGTGTAATGTTGGTATGTAGCCTCTGAATGTGACAGGTGTGAGTAGGTTATTAGTCAGAATGATATACTTTTTTTTGCATTAGTATAAGTACTTGTAAGAAGAGGGTGCAAAGTGAATTTCTAGTTCCCATTGAAGAATTTATTTTTGAATTTATATCATAGTTCTGTGTGACAGTGTGGTGGGTATAATGTATGTTGTTTTGGTCACATTAATGTGGAGTGCATAGCGAAGTTTAAATTCTCTAGTGTGACGTTATATTTTTGTGTGCAATATATACAGTAATGTGTAGTGAGGTATTGTAGTGTTTGAGAATGTTAATATCTCCATTCATGCACAGTGGATTCAGAAGTCTCCACTTTTATGTACATCACTTGTTTGCATGGAGAATTCTTGCTTATAACAAGGCGGTATGCTAAGTGAAAGACATGTTGTTATTGGTGTTATGCTGGCAGTCCTGTTCAATGAGAGTGTAAAATGTGCACAGTGGTGTGTAGAGTATGTGTTATAGCATGAAGAATGATGGCAAGTGATTTATAAGTTAGATGTGTATTTCGGTTTGATAGACAACTGATTGCATTCTTGCCATCTGATTTTCCAGGCTTACATGTGCTAGCAGGTAGTATAGACCACAAGGGAATTATTTCATTTCCATCTATTAAACTGCTTAAAAATCACATTGTTTACAGGAAAGCACGAGTTGTTACAGCCGATATTTTTGTAATTGTAATTTATAGTTTAGTCTAGAACATATATAGTGATGTGTTTGTTTCTTGTTTTAATGCTTAGGAAATTGTTGAAGGATACTGTCTTAGGTTCAGATCGTAATAAGTGATTTCCCTATCTAATATATGAGCACTACTATTGTGGGGTGGATACCTTTCATATAGAGTATATGTATATCCTTCACATATGTCGAGAAACATAATAAATTTAATGTTTCCATTTGAAAACAGAATATTTCGGAAACTGTTGGAAATTGTAAGAGTCAATCAAGATAATTGTGATATCTTGCACTTGGGAGTTCTGCAATGTCAATATTTCGTAAAAATAATTTACGACCATTATAAATATAGAAATATATGCCAGGATTCATAGATTACGGAGTTAGTATAACAGAAAAAATATATGCAAGAGTTTATCATGTGAGAGAATTCGGAAATAAAATGTCCCGTGTAAATATATAATGATTTCATACGCTGTCAGAGACATTCAATCGTAAGATATTACCGACGGCCAAGCCGTGCTTAACTGACCATAACGATGCACAGTAGTCATTTGCGCACACCTATCATAATGTACCCACACAACCTAACATTAGCGTGAATTACAGAGTTTCGTCCCCTCCAAGGTGCAGATGGGTGCGCAGTAGTTACTGCGCAAACCTAACCTAACATAACCTAACGCAGCCCAACCTAACGTCAGCGAAGGATACCCAAGGGTACCCCCTGAGCTGCAGTTGGATGCGTAGTAGTTCATTGCGCACACCTAAGAGTGACGTCATTTACGAAGCTGCTATTTCCCCCGAACGTAATATAGGCCTGTCGTAACGTGGAATATAATTCGAAATATTACGTTATGTATAAAATTGAGCGGGTTGACCGTTTTTCCACCCATACTATCTCAATCTATGCTCGTATATTCCGATGCTATATTGCTACGTGATAGCTTAGATTGTGTCGAAAACGCCGCTCACACCTCACGAGTTTGCGAATCCCCCACGGTGATACAAATGACTACTGAATATTACATATTATGGCATCATGCTGCCCTCCAATGGCATAACGTTATGACGAAAAACCTTTATTATCAGTGAAGTCGGTCCCTTCTTTATCGTGGATGGATACGCGACCAATTGAGTGGCTGTTTGGCATATGTTTCGCCCGAATTTACCTTCCTGAATAGGAAGTAGAATATAAATTATACACGAAAATGTATAAAAAATGGGGTGAAAAATTGCCGTCCTGTAATGGAAATGTTAATCGAATATTTCTGTTTAGTCATGTTAAGCGGTTGGCTGCCCAGTCACTGTGACCTAAATATCCGGTGTACAACATCAAGGTATGTTTCTTTCCTGGTATGAAGAGGTGTTTGTAAATAATAAGACGGTGATATGTGTGTATGTTTATATACATATATGTTCCAGTTCTGATTAATTATCTGCCTGAAAGTATAGCTTAAAAGATTCAGTTAGATAGTGCAAATGGTAGGCTTTAATGTGTGTATTATCCTGGACCGAGTAATTGCGAGTGCAAATTGTACAAACTTGTGCTTCCTCCGTTCCACAACGAAATCGAAGTGTTTTCCCCCTGAACCATGAAACTGAAGTATATGTGAAAGGAGAATGCACGATAACGTTCATTTATTTATTTAACGAAAGTAAGTGCATGTAAGAATAGTGGGTGTGTAGTGAAATACAATTTGAGGTTATTCTTGGCCTATTATTATTAATCTCGTGTGAAGTATGTACAGTGATTTGCACAAAATGTGTTTTAGTGGTTATATGGATAGAGAGTGAATTAGATTTTATGAGTGCATACTTGGTATGATGGAAAAAAGGGTGTAGTTTTGGTATGTAGCCACTGAATATCACAGGTGTGAGTAGGTTATTAGTCAGAATGATTTACTTTTTTTTTTTGCATTGGTATAAGTACTTGCAAGAAGAGGGTGCAAAGCGAATTTCTAATCCCATTGAAGAATTTATTTTTTGAATTTAATCTTGGTTCTGTGTGAGAGTGTTGTGGGTATCATATATGTTGTTTTGGTCACAATAATGTGGAGTGTAAAGCGAAGAAGTTTAAGTTCTCTAGTGTGACGTTATATTTTTGTGTGCGATATATACATTTATGTCACTGCATCTTGAAGTTATAGTTCTGAATAGGATGTATATATTATGTTCAGTTGTTTCGGTGATGAGGCATGGAGACTGTATGATACATATGGAATCCCAGTCGATTTAACACAGCTGATGTGTGAGGAGAAGGGTTTTACTGTTGACATTAATGAATATGAGGACGCGAAGAAACAAGCCCAGGTAATGAATACCGTTTGTGGTGTTTAGTTGTCCAAAAACTGGAAATATGAGAGCAGTGGAAATATCTGTTGATAGTTTTGTGTAGCTGTTTTTCAAGAGTTCATCAAGCATAAGAAAGTAGGCATTCATGATTTGCAGACATCTTTGAAACTGAATGAATTGTCTTAGTGTAAACTGTAAAGACTTTGAAATTTAGAATGTTCAGCAATGAATGTTAATGTCACTGGGAATTGTCTCAGATGATCAGGC